GAAAAATTAAAAGACAGAGTGCGAGACTGGTTGCATTACTACCAAATAAGAGAGGTTTATAATTTGGATAGAAAAATTGGCTTCCAGGTGGAAAAATCAAAGTTGGAAACAGAACTGCTAGATTCCAAAACTAAAACACTTTCAAGAATGTATAACTTGCTGCTAAAATGGAATACTCAGGATGAAACGGTAAAATCTGTTATGATTAAATGGGCACAGGATATTGGACATAACATTATGTTTGCTGACTGGGAATGGTTATGGACCACAGGTACGAAGTTCACAGCATGTAATGCTTTAAAAGAGAATATTATGAAAATGGTGTACAGGTGGTACATGACCCCAGTTAAGCTTGCAAAAATCTACCATTTGCCCGATAATAAATGCTGGAAATGTAAGGAAACTGAAGGTACATTCTTTCACCTTTGGTGGACGTGCCCAAAGATTAAGGCCTTCTGGGAAATGATATATAATGAGCTGAAAAAGGTATTTAAGTATACCTTCTTAAAGAAACCAGAGGCCTTCCTCTTGGGCATTGTTGGCCAATTGGTGCCAAAGAAAGATAGAACTTTCTTTATGTATGCAACAGCAGCAGCAAGAATACTCATCGCAAAGTATTGGAAGACACAAGACTTACCCACTCTGGAAGAATGGCAGATGAAGGTAATCGAATACATGGAACTGGCGGAGATGACTGGCAGAATCCGTGACCAGGGAGAAGAGTCGGTGGAAGAAGATTGGAAGAAATTTAAAGTCTATCTACAGAAATACTATAAAATTAATGAATGTTAAATTGAGGTCTGATTGAAAATAACTGGTATTGGCAAAAGCCTCGCATTTAAGAGTATGGAATATTTGATTGATAAGGTTGTAAAAATATCTATATATAAATAGATTAAGTTTCTTGAGTTAAGATAAAGGAAGGAGGGTAAGGATTTGCTGAAAGGAGTTTCTAAAAGGAAATACAAGTGGGGAGGTGCGGGGAAGTCAAAGAACCAAGGAAAGAATAGAAGGTTAAATGAAATTACAAATTTTTAAATTTTTCTGTTTTATTGTTATTCTTTGTTTTCCTTTTGTCACTGTTATTGTTGTTTTCTGTCTTTGAAAATCTGTATTTTTTTTATGTTTTGGAATTTTTGTAAAACCAATAAATATTATATATAAAAAAAAAAAAAATTACACACATATACAAAGAATTTACAAAGCATTTACAATCTCATACTACAAAAAGAAAATTAAAGAAAAAACAATGAAGAAAAAAGAAAAGAAGAAAATACAGAAAAAAGAAAGAAGAAAAAGCAGATTTACGTGCATAAAAAAACTTAATCCTCCTAATTAATACTTAAATAAACACTAAAATAAAAAAGACTTGAGAAAGTCATTATACAGTTTCCAATGAATGTTGAAGATGCACCTTTTTGCCCCAGCTTTTGACACTTGGGGTGTATATTTTAGGACCCACCTTATTTCTGTAATTTTAAGTTGTTTTAAACTGTTTTTAATAGAGTGCTGTAATGTTGTGTTTTAATGTTGTAATCCACCCTGGGACCTCAGGGTGCGTGGTGGGTTTAGATAAAAATAACAACAGCAATAATATCGGGCACAATGCCTGAGCTTCACATAGGAACGGGCTTCCTATTTATGATTATGGGAAGAAAGAAGGAACACTATGCAAGGGGCTTTCCCTTTATACAGTGGTACCTCGGGTTACATACGCTTCAGGTTACATACGCTTCAGGTTACACACTCCACTAACCCAGAAATATTACCTCGGGTTAAGAACTTTGCTTCAGGATGAGAACAGAAATCGTGCTCCAGCGGCGTGGCAGCAGCAGGAGGCCCCATTAGCTAAAGTGGTGCTTCAGGTTAAGAACAGTTTCTGGTTAAGAATGGACCTCTGGAACAAATTAAGTACATAACCAGAGGTACCACTGTATACTTGAAACGTTTGTCTTGATAAGCAGCAGTCTTGTTGATGCATCAAACTCCGAACACCCCCATGATCTGTTGCGCATTAGGCAGGAGTGTGAAGAGTGCCCCAGGATTAATTTTTCGGTGTGTTCATTGATACAAATAATATGGCTTTTGTTTTTTTCATTTGTACAAATAACAATCTTTGCCTTCTGAATTCCAAAAATGTCTGAATGATTACTGTAATGTCACTTGTGCCGAAGTTATTTTAGGATAATAAGCAAGTTTAATCTTACTTAATAAAAGGTTTCCATGGGGCATTTTAGAGAATCTACATGCAAGTGGTTTAACTAAACCAATTCTTCTTCCTTTGACATTTGTTCAAGGGTTTGCAGATCCTACAAACCAGCAGATGAAAATAAAAGTCGAAACAGCCATAGCCATGGACTTAATTAACTGGTTGACTGTAAAAAAAAAAAAGTTCTTATTAAAAGCAAACAAAATTGTATTCTTTGAAAGTTCTTTGTCCTGATTTGAAATAGGGCAATGGATGAGTGTGTTGAATTCATCATAGGTTTACAGGCCTTGGGCAGGGATCGGCTTTCATTTGTCTCCGACAATTTGGACCCATTTGAGTTATTGCGCTCTATATAACAACAAAAGCGGTTTGGCATAATGTCTTCCTTTAATTTTGGTTGGTGTTCCTCTTGAAAGCAAAGAGGAGTTGGAAACTTTAGCAAAACAGATGCAACAAAAGCAAACTTTAAAGCAAATAAAAATATTGAGCATCATAACAAATTGGCTGTAAAGTTCAGAAAGAACAGTGCAGTTATCAAGTAACCACTTCTGTTGCTTTCAGACTTCTGGAAATATTTCAATTCCATTCCGTGGGAGAAGGGACAATTAAGCACAGTAAAAACAGACCTTGAAGAGCAGATATTACAGGATATCTGCCTCAGTCAGAGGTTTAGTCTGATCTGAAGGTTGTTCCAGATGACTACTTAGAGGCATGCATTAGTTTTACAAAGTATTCCTCTACTCTTGTGACTTTATTAAGATAGTCTAGCTTCCTTTATGAGAAGAATAAGAACTCTTCATTATTCAAATAATTACAATTGCCTTCTTCGTTTCATGTAGCTTCACAATAATTAAGAGATCTTTGGGAAGGGTGGTGGCACAGGCTTTCCATATGCTTTCTGGACATCCTTTTCTATTAACATTTCTGTCACCTGCCAGTTTTGGGCCCAAAATACTTGTTTAAAATGCTATCAATTTATCCAACGTCTTGCCATCTTTAGTACTCACTGTTCACACACTGAAGTGATGAGAGGAAATTTAGTGTTTCCCATTCAGGCTTGCAATTACTTCTCTGAAAGGGATGCCTTAACAGTATCTTTCATTCTTTGTATTTGGTTACGACTTTGTTGCTTCCCCCCCCCCCGTCTAACTTGTTTTTTTATTGGATTTCTTTTAAGACTGCAGCTTTTTTATTGGGTTGGTACCAAGTTCTAAAAGAAATGATCAAAACCATACCAGTTTCCAGGAAAACAATAGATCCCTAACCTGTACCACTAACTTTCATGATTTGGAAATTGTTAGGGCACTCCAGTGTCTCAGTCATTTATTGTAGTAGCAGAGGAACAGGAATCACTGTTCTTTTTTCTTCCTATTGAAACCCCATATGGGTTGTATCTACTTCAGTATAACCTAAGATATTAAATATCCTGATTGATTTTAAAATTTTGCTTCAATATAGAGAAATCACATTTAATCCCCGCAAGTTTAGCACATGACATTTACTCTTTTTATTCCCTTCATTTTATACTACCACAAAATGTACAGCAGTTATTTAAAACATTTCTCCCACAATTGGAAGCCACTAACATCATATTTAAAATTAACAAGTAAACCATTAAAAACATTTCAAATTGGTTGTGATTTTAGTTTCCTTTTAACAGCAGCCGTGCAACAACTTAATTCATCTTTACTCAAACTATAAAACCAGCAGATGACAAAGAAAGTCATCAAAAAAGGTGTCAGCCCAATTTTTATTCACCAAACACCTCTTTAACCAAATGGGCTTTGCATAGCTTCCAAAATTTCAGTAAGGAGGTAGAGTGTCATACCTCCTCCAGAAACTCGTTTTAGAGCCTTGGAGCAATGTCAATAAAGCCTCTGCTCCTCCTGCCACCTAGAAACCCAGCCGGATGGGTGGGGTATAAATTATTATTATTATTATTATTATTATTATCATCATCATCATCATCATCATCAGGTGGTGGAGAAGGAACTGGCAATCCACTCCAATATTTTGCCAAGAAAACTCCATGGACATAAAAAAGGAGAAGCTTTGAGAAGAAAGCAAGAGTTTCCAAGGCATGCTCTGGTTCATGGGGTCACGGAGAGTCGAACATGACTAAAATGACTAAACAACAACAATGATCAGGTGCAGAGGGGGGTGGATCCACTGCCAGTCAGCACAAACAGTACCCGGCTAGATCCGTTAATGGTTTTGACTCTAGTAAAAGGTGCTTTTTATAGTATTAATCATAAATTTGTTGTTGATGTCTCTGCTTTGTAAGATGCTGTCCACACAGTAAAATGTTTCTTTTAGCCTCCTCTCTCAGCAACCCTGATGAAAAAATGAAGCAAGTTTGCACAGACAACTTTAGAGGCTAAAAGTTAAAACCATGTGGAGAATTTTTGAATCTTTGGAATATGGCAGGATTACAGCTTAAATAAACAGATAAATTGATTGCTTTGCTTATTCTGCCTGTACCCTACCCTCAACTTTTGTATCTGTTTCTTTCAGCTCACTTCATCTGCTCCTTAAAAATAAGAGAATTTGCAATGTTACCTAGCACCTAGGTCAGTATTCAAAATGCTGTGTTTTGAAACAGCAACAGATTGAGCGATGGATTTGAGCCCCTTCAAGAGATGTTCCTAAATTAGGTGTCCAACCTTTGACATTATAATATTGCATCTTTAATATCCATGTTAATGTCTAGCAGATTTTGAAAGACACTGAGCTCTTGGCTTTAGTCACTACAATGATTCCCATATGTTAACTCTGTACTGGGTGAAAGCGTTGCCTTTCTACCAGTAAAATGTCCTGAGAAGTTCTAATTATTTTCATTGATGTGGATTACTTTTGCATTTGCAAACAAATAACTACACTTTCATCATGTTGCCCACACACATACATCTAACGTGCTTATTTCATTCTGAAAACCAATCTTCTCCAGCTTGGAGTAAATTATTGTCACTCGGCTTCTCACACCCTGAGCCAGTTCTGATGTCATCTCTTGCCTTTCCCCAAGGAGACTAAAGTGTCACTGATGCCCCAGAATCAGACACAGTAAAGATCAACTGGAAGGGGGGGGGTGCAAATGAGAAATTCACATCCAGCAGCATTTGCAATGCTAGTGACAAAATCCAAAGATTTATCTATGGTGCAGAAATGGAAAAACAGATCAGAAACACAGCCCTGCTGAGAATTCTCAGAGAATGCTTTCCAACTAGCAATCGTCTCAAAACTAGTGCAATTCAAAAGGTTGTTTGCTCTGTAATCTTCATTGCAGCAACCAATGAGGAAGCCCTTTATCATTCACACACAGTTTTCTTCCTTGTACCGGAAACATTAAAGCTTCCTTTCTTTTTCTTCAAAAGAAAAACGAAGCATTGCCAGCCAAAAGGTTTGTGTTCATTGTCCATTAATTATACTTAGGGAGGCCCAGATAATCATTTCCTTGATTCGGGAGTTCTGCACACAAACACACCCAAATCACAAAATTACAGCCAAAGAATTATTCATGGGGAAAGCTACAACGACCTGGACCTACATACTTTAGAGGATTTTCATGTGTGGAGATATGTGTTGCAAGTGAAACGCGCAACAAAAGGTTGCAATGTGAAGTGCTCCCATTCAGGTTTCCATCCACTGAATTCTTCTGTATTTTCCCAAAAGTGTTACATTGCATGGACAGGCGGAGTCCCCCAAACCCTGGGCGGCCCCCGTGTGGAATAACGACTCAAGACAACGTGCTATGGGATTAAAATTGGCCACAACTTTATAATGTTTCAGATGTGGGTAGACCTTGGCTCAGGCATTGGGCATTTATTCTCTCCCAGTCCCCCGCCGGGGATCTGGGGAACATCAGGGTTATCCAGTGGGGGGGGGGGCTGGCTCTGGAGAACATATGTTCAAGTAGAGAGAGCCCGCCCCCGTTATGCCGCCATCGCAAGGGAGAGCAATTACGACCTCTAGGAGTACAGCCAGAGCCTCCCCTCAAACAACCCCTTTAACGGGGAACCCTGGTATCGCTGCCGCAAAGAGGAAGGGATGTGGGTCACCGCTGCACGCCCCCCCCATTCAGGGAAGATAGACTAAAGGATTCCGCCCAAGGCCGCCAAAGTTGTGACATTTTGCTATGGGAAAGGCAAGCCTGACAATGCAGGAGAATTCCTTTCCGGCCCTTCAACAGCGACCTTGACGTAGCAGTGCCAGCGTACTGTGGAGAAAAGGTTAACCTGCAAAAGAAGTCTTAACTGAGGGTGGGTAGGGTGGGAGAAGCTCTGGAGCCAACTGATGATTCCCAGGTAAGATCCTCGCCATATTGTGTGGGCAGTCCCTCCCCCTACCTGGCTTGATCACCTTGGCAACGCCTCCCCAGGCGGGATTGGGCAACTGACTGAGGTAGACGGAGACCTCCAGGTATCCCACCTGGGGGGAGGCAAAGCGAAGCCTGTGCTAATGGTGCCGCAGAGGGTCCAGGGGGCTGCGTGCAACCACGCAAAGGGCACCCCCCCATTTAATGTGGGGAGTGGTCATTCCGTAGACACTGAGCAAGCTCAGTGGTCATTGGGCTGTTTGGGGGTTCCTCTCTCCCTTAGAGTCCCCCCCAAAAGCTTCTTTTGCACTTCTGCTAATATCAGAGCTCCCCAAACCTGCTGATACCTCCTCCTTGTGCTAGGATTATGTTTGGCTGCAGAAGCAAGGACTCCAGCCTGAACATTGGAAATAGAAGGAATGACAAGATGGACCTACCAAAAATGTTATGGTGTGAAGGCCTTCTGCTCAAGGCTCAGCAGAACCCTTTCCCAGGATACTCTATTACATTTCCTTCTCCTTGTTCCCTTCCTTAAATGAAAGACAGCATTTCATGGCCGATGAGCATGGTCAGTCTTCACTGGGCTGTTTTAAGAGCTCATCCCCCACTAAGGTTTTTTCCCTATAATTTGATTTTTCTTTTTTTCTTTTGCGAAGCTTGGGAATCCCAAAGCTTGCTGATACATCCCTCTTACGTGTATGTAGGGTACAAAGGGATTGGCATTCAGAGTATGTGTTTACTATTTGTATTTATGATTAATGAAGGATGTTCTTCTCATTATAGGGGATTGGAATGCTAAAGTAGGGAGTCAAGTGATAAAAGGAACAACTGGCAAGTTTGGCCTTGGAGTTCAAAACGAAGCAGGGCAAAGGCTAATAGAGTTCTGCCAAGAGAACAAGCTGGTCATCACAAACATTCTTTTCCAACAACACAAGAGACGACTCTACACATGGACATCACCAGATGGGCAGCATCGAAATCAGATTGATTATATTCTCTGCAGCCAAAGATGGAGAAGCTCTATACAGTCAGCAAAAACAAGACCTGGAGCTGACTGTGGCTCAGATCATCAGCTTCTTATAGCAAAATTCAAGCTTAAACTGAAGAAAGTAGGAAAACCACTGGGCCGGTAAGATACAATCTAAGTCAAATCCCTTATGAATACACAGTGGAAGTGAGGAACAGGTTTAAGGATTTAGATTTGGTGGACAGAGTGCCTGAAGAACTATGGATGGAGGCTCGTAACATTATACAGGAGGCAGCAACTAAAACCATCCCAACGAAAAGGAAATACAAGAAAGCAAAGTGGCTGTCCAACGAGGCCTTACAAATAGCAGGGGAGAGAAGGCAAGCAAAATGCGAGGGAGATAGTGGAAGATACAGGAAATTGAATGCAGATTTCCAAAGAATAGCAAGGAGAGACAAGAAGGCCTTCTTAAACGAGCAATGCAAAGAAATAGAGGAAAACAATAGAATGGGAAAAACCAGAGATCTGTTCAAGAAATTGGAGATATGAAAGGAACATTTCGTACAAAGATTACCATAATAAAAGACAAAAGTGGAAAGGACCTAACAGAAGCAGAAGACATCAAGAAGAGGTGGCAAGAATACATAGAGGAACTATACCAGAAAGAAATGGATGGCTCGTACACCCCAGGTAGTGTGGTTGCTGACCTTGAGCCAGACATCCTGGAGAGTGAAGTCAAATGGGCCTTAGAAAGCACTGCTAATAACAAGGCCAGTGGAAGTGATGATATTCCAGCTGAACTATTTAAAATTTTAAACGATGATGCTGTTAAGGTGCTACACTCAATATGCCAGCAAGTTTGGAAAACTCAGCAGTGGCCAGAGGATTGGAGAAGATCAGTCTACATCCCAATCCCAAAGAAGGGCAGTGCCAAAGAATGCTCCAACTACCGCACAATTGCACTCATTTCACACGCCAGCAAGGTTATGCTTAAAATTCTACAAGGCAGGCTTAAGCAGTATGTGGACCGAGAACTGCCAGAAGTGCAAGCTGGATTTCGAAGGGGCAGAGGAACCAGAGACCAAATTGCAAACATGCACTGGATTATGGAGAAAGCTAGAGAGTTCCAGAAAGACGTCTACTTCTGCTTCATTGACTATGCAAAAGCCTTTGACTGTGTCGACCACAGCAAACTATGGCAAGTTCTTAAAGAAATGGGAGTGCCTGATCACCTCATCTGTCTCCTGAGAAATCTCTGTGTGGGACAAGAAGCTACAGTTAGAACTGGATATGAAACAACTGATTGGTTCAAAATTGGGAAAGGAGTACGGCAAGGCTGTATATTGTCTCCCTGTTTATTTAACTTATATGCAGAATTCATCATGCGAAAGGCTGGGCTGGATGAATCCCAAGCTGGAATTAAGATTGCCGGAAGAAATATCAACAACCTCAGATATGCAGATGACACAACCTTGATGGCAGAAAGTGAGGAGGAATTAAGGGTGAAAGAGGAGAGCACAAAATATGGTCTGAAGCTCAACATCAAAAAAACGAAGATCATGGCCACTGGTCCCATCACCTCCTGGCAAATAGAAGGGGAAGAAATGGAGGCAGTGAGAGATTTTACTTTCTTAGGCTCCATGATCACTGCAGATGGTAACAGCAGTCACGAAATTAAGAGACAACTGCTCCTTGGAAGAAAGGTGATGGCAAACCTAGACAGTATCTTAAAAAGCAGAGACATCACCTTGCCAACAAAGGTCCGTCTAATTAAAGCCATGGTTTTTCCAGTAGTGATGCATGGAAGTGAGAGCTGGACCGTCAAGAAGGCTGATCGCCGAAGAATTGATGCTTTTGAATTATGGTGCTGGAGGAGACTCTTGAGAGACCCATGGACTGCAAGAAGATCAAACCTCTCCATTCTGAAGGAAATCAGCCCTGAGTGCTCACTGGAAGGACAGATCCTGAAGCTGAGACTCCAATACTTTGGCCACCTCATGAGAAGAGAAGGCTCCCTGGAAAAGACCCTGATGTTGGGAAAGATGGAGGGCACAAGGAGAAGGGGACGACAGAGGATGAGATGGTTGGACGGTGTTCTCGAAGCTACAAACATGAGTTTGACCAAACTGCGGGAGGCAGTGGAAGACAGAAGTGCCTGGCGTGCTCTGGTCCACGGGGTCATGAAGAGTTGGACACGACTAAACGACTAAACAACAACAACACTGTGTGGATAGTGCCATGATATAGTTTAGTCATTAGGTGGCAATGGTCTTACTTGTCTCTTTTTGCTGGTGCTATTCTGTTCTTGTTTAAGACAGGTAATACAGAAATTGTCTAGCTTCCTAACTGGTGGGGGCTTCCATGACAAACCCTACCTTCCCCACTTCAAATGCACAATGAAACTCAAAGAAAACCTCATAGTAATTCTTTCACAAATGCCACTTCCTGCTTCTAGAAGCCGTTTCTGCCTTCAATTTTCTCTTCCCACCGAAGTGTTATGATCTCTTTTGAATGCTGGTTGATGATCTCTGGTGGGCTAGGGACAAAGGTGAGAGCTGTTTCCTAGTTCTGCTGGATCTCTCAGCGGCGTTTTATACCATCGACCATAACATCCTTCTGGACCGTCTTGAGGAGCTGGGAGCTGGGGGCACTGTTATACAGTGGTTCCGCTCCTTTCTCCTGGGCCATATCCAGAAAGTGGGGGGGGATGAGTGTTCAGACCCCTGGGCTCTCACTTGTGGGGTGCCTCAGGGTTCTGTCCTCTCCACCATGCTTTTTAATATCTATATGAAGCCTCTGGGAGAGATCATCAGGGGGTTTGGGCTGGGTGTTCATCAGTATGCGGATGATACCCAGCTCTACCTCTCTTTCAAATCAGAACCATTGAAGGCGGTGAAGGTCCTGTGTGAGTGCCTGGAGGCGGTTGGAGGTTGGATGGTGGCTAACAGATTGAGGTTGAATCCTGACAAGACAGAAGTACTCTTTTGGGGGGACAGGAGGCGGGCAGGTGTGGAGGATTCCCTGGTCCTGAATGGGGTAACTGTACCCCTGAAGGACCAGGTGCGCAGCCTGGGAGTCATTTTGGACTCGCAGCTGTTCATGGAGGCACAGGTCAAATCTGTCCAGGGCAGCTGTTTACCAGCTCCATCTGGTACGCAGGCTGAGACAATATCTGTCTGCGGACTGCCTTGCCAGAGTGGTGTATGCTCTGATTATCTCCCGCTTGGACTACTGCAATGCGCTCTACGTGGGGCTACCTTTGAAGGTGAGCCGGAAACTACAACTAATCCAGAACGCGGCAGCTAGACTGGTGACTGGGAGTGGCCGCCGAGACCACATAACACCGGTCTTGAAAGACCTACATTGGCTCCCAGTACGTTTCCGAGCACACATCAAAGTGTTGGTGCTGACCTTTAAAGCCCTAAACTGCCTTGGTCCAGTATATCTGAAGGAGTGTCTCCACCCCCATCGTTCTACCCGTACACTGAGGTCCAGCGCCAAGGGCCTTCTGGCGGTTCCCTCACTGCGAGAAGCCAAGTTACAGGGAACCAGGCGGAGGGCCTTCCCGGTAGTGGCACCCTCCCTGTGGAACGCCAGATGTCAAAGAGAACAACAACTATCAGACTTTTAGAAGACATCTGAAGGCAGCCCTGTTTAGGGAAGTTTTTAATGTTTGATGTATTACAGTATTCTAATATTTTTTTGGAAGCCACCCAGAGTGGCTGGGGAAGCCCAGCCAGATGGGCAGGGTATAAATAAATTATTATTATTATTATTATTATTATTATTATTATTATGCATTGGAGGGGCGGGAGAAAAAGTTGTTCATGTGGCCTATATTTTTCAAAACATGTTAGGTTGGAAAGATATGGCAATGTGAACCGTCTCCTGTTTGCTCTGAGGCCCATGGATTTTCTCAGCAGCCCAGTTTTTCATAAGTTACCTTCTTAATCCTTCCTCATTTTTTGGGTAAAAAAATATATCTATTTTTTTCTTAGTAGTTTGCTGTACCTCCCTATAGGATTTTTGTATGAATTCCATACACAGACTTGATGTGCCCAATGAAAATCAAGGACAGCTGTTTCCTAAATCTGATCATCCTTTCATTTTTAATATTTTCCAGTAATTAGCTTGTCTACAAGAAATACCATACTCCCCTATAGCACTCTTGAGTATAGTGAGAGAGTGATTGCCTGCTCGTGAGCTATGAATTTTTACATCTTACTAACATCCTAAGTAATTATTCTGGAAGCTCTGTTCACCTTCTCCAAGATCATCAATATTACCCGTGTTTGAAAGGAAGCCTTAAGTGAACATCCTGACTAAAGGTTCTCCAATCTCTCTTGCTGTCTGCCTTCTGAATTCTGAAAGCGATCTGCCTAGGACCCTCGAGTCCTGTCAGCTCTAATTTGAGACGTTGTAATTTCTTGATCACCTGTTCTGTGGTGATCATAATTTCTTTCTGTCAGGTCCTTCCTCCCTGGAGAAATCTATGTCTGTTTCTGTCATCTAATATGGAATCCCTTTTTTCTTTTCTTTTTGGAAACACTGAGGGAAAGCATTAAAGTAATATATTTAGCAATATCTCTTTCCCTTATTTAATAAATTGTCCCATGTCTATTGACTCCAAAGACAGTAATTATGCAGAGGAGCTTTATTTTATAATCAGCTTGTAATATAATTCTTAGCATTTATACAGCATATTTAGAGTGTTTGTATATCCATTAAATTGTGGAAATGTTTACAACTTTGTAGGTAGGTTGATATTATTATCCCCCTATTGCAGTGTGTGTGTGTGTGTGTGTGTGTGTGTGTGTAGCTCAGACATTGTGACTTGCCTAAAATGACCTGACAAGTTTATAGCAGAGGCGGGTTTCAAACCAGGGATGTCCTCCAGCCCAAGCGCCCATCTCTTCCAACATACTGGCCAGTTATTTGGCCCATAACCAAATGCAAAGACTGAAAGTAATGGTCCTCTCCAGTTTGTTCCTGGAGCCTGTTTCTGGAATATGGAGCCCAGCATGGTGAAAGATGAGATTAGAATTTATAGACCTAGTGGCTGTCTAGAGGTCAATGTACCACATTTGACATTTGAGGTCAATAAGTTTCTCAAAAGATGTGAATCTCTTAAGGGTTACCATTCTTCATCAGTTAACTAATTTTACGGAGCAATTTGTTACATACATTCTGAGTTTAACCACATATTATATGCTTAATGATACAAATTATTTCTGTTCATTTTCTGATTTCTCTATAAGAGCAACTGGCTGTTCAGATGAAATGAGTCCTACGTGCTGAATAGCATCCTGCTTCTTTTTTTCCAGTTGCAAAGAATACACTCATTTAGCTGGAAAGAAGAAAGTCCACCCTAGCTACAATAGGCTTGATTTAGAAAGTTCTGAGCTACATTTCATGGAAAAAACTTAAAGAGTAAATACAGTTTTTTTATGATGGCCCTGGTGATTTCAGTGTGGTTTGGCTCC